CAAAACACATGATGGAAACCACCAGATAAACCCACACTGCTAGACCAATTATTTCCTATTTTCTTCTGTTAAAACATCAGTAAAATTGTTTGTGTTCCCACAAAAGTTTCTCATCATCCGTCAAGTGGTACACCATTATGACTCATGGTAGAAGTCAAACAAAAAATAGTTGTCTTGTGTGTGTGTGTGTGTGTGTGTGTGTGTGTGTGTGTGTGTGTGTGTGTGTGTGTGTGTGTGTGTGTGTGTGTGAAATGACGTTGTATGTCATAAGTGCTTGTGGTGTTACTATAAGTACACATAAAAAAAAAAAAAAAAAAAATCCTATAAGTACACATTAAATCATGTGTTATTGCGTGGATTAACAGAAGTTGTTTTTAATCAAATTGCCAGAAAAACGAGTCAAATCTTGAAGAATTACGGACTGAGATTATGTGAAATCATCCATCCAGGGGGAAAGTACACGGTTTTACCTCAGAGCGGGAAAACTTTCAGGTAAATTAACGTGTTCTAACAAGGCTAACTATAACAGAAGCTACACATTCAAAAATTAATTCATTTTTATCGTTTTCTCAAAAACAATTCAGAATTTTAGTAGTCTAATCATTTAAGAAGTACCATGTCATTGGCACCATCAATGAGACTTCATTTCTACTCAAGTTTGTACGTATATCTGCGCACATTTGGTTAAAAAAAAACATCATTTAAAAGAGCCACATTAATCATGTGTACGTACCTCAAGAAATGTGCGACTTCCCTCGTGTGTGGATGGCAGTTGATTTGACTAACCTGACTGTGAGGCGCAGGAAACTTGAGCAGAGGAAGTACGCGCCCGACTACTCATTTCGATCAAAATATAGTAAGTTTAGAGTTACACGCGTGGAATGAAACAACATACTCCAAATTTCTAAATATCTCACGTGTATTTAGAAATTCAGTTAAGATTATCTTGACATTTCACAGAATTTTAGCATTTAAAGTACAGAGTCAATATCAGTTCGCCAGTTCTGCGACATGTGAGGCAAACAAAACTCCTTTTATTAAGTTCCCCTAATGTCACACTGTAAAGTTTCTATTTCTCATTAATCATGTGTGTGTGCGTGTGTGTATGTGTGTGTGCTTTTGAATGTTATACTGGATTGGAGTTTTAGATTTCTGCGAAGGCGAACTTAATGTGGGAGGATGCGGTGAAGACAGTATACCACATTAACCAGTAAAATAATGGTACACACCTTTCCTTACACCAAGTACTGTGAAGGGTCGCACCCCAAAGTAACAGTTAAAAAACATTTCACTTTCAGGATATTACTCATTTTTATAGTTCACTCACATATTCAGTAGTAAGTTATATATACTTAACGGCCACTTTATTGGGTACATCTTACTAGTACCGGGTTGGACCCCCTTGTCTTCTGAAATGTCTTAATCCTTCGTGGCATCGATTCAACAAGGTCCTGGAAATATTCCTCAGAGATTTTGGTGCATATTGACATGATACTATCATGTAGTTGCTGCAGATTTGTCGGCTGCACATCCATGATGTGAATCACCTGTTCCACCACATCCCAAAGGTGCTCTATTGTATTGGGATCTGGTGATTGTGGAGGCCATTTGAGTACAGAGAACTCATTCTCATGTTAAAGAAACCAGTCTGAGATGATTTACTTTTTATGAGATGGTGCGTTATCCTGTTGGAAGTAGCCATCAGAAGATGGGTATACTGTCGTCAGCAACAATACTCAGGTAGGCTGTGGCATTGACACAATGCTCAATTGGTACTAATTGGCCCAAAGTGAACCAAGAAAATATCCCCCACATCATTACACCACCACCACCATCCTGAAACGTTGATACAAGGCAAAAGGGATGCATGCGTTTTATGTTGTTGACGCCAAATTTGCAGAATGTTGCAGCAGACATTGAGACAAACAGGCAACATTTTTACAATCTTCTATTGTCCAATTGTGGTGAGCCTGTGTGAATTGTAGCCTCAGTTTCCTGTTCTTAGCTGACAGATGTGACAACCGGTGTGGTCTTCTGCTGCTGTAGCTCATCTGCCTCAAGGTTCCATGCCATTCTCCTCTGACCTCTGGCATCAACCAGGCATTAGCGCCCACAGAACTGCTGCTCACTGGATATTTTAGTTTTTTCTGACCATTCTCTGTAAACCTAGATATTGTTGTGTGTGAAAATCCCAGTAGATCAGCAGTTTCTAAAACACTCAGACCAGCCCATCTGGCAACAACAGATCCACGTTTCAAATCATTTAAATCATCCTTCTTCCCCATTCTGATACTTGATTCAAACTGCTCCAGATTGTCTTGACCATGCCTACATGCCTAAACAAATTGAGTTGCTGCCATGTAATTGGCTGATTAGAAATTTGCATTAACAAGCAGTTTGAAAGGTGTCCCTAATACAGTGGCCTCTTTGTGTATATATGAATACCAAAAATACAATTAGGCTTTTTATTACAAAAAAAAAAACTAATGCACAAACCTGTAGTTTCATTAGCGTCATGATTTTGCTTCCTGTTTTCCATGCAAGATGCTTTTAGGTGGGTTTTTATGCGTTTTTTAGACAATCACACAAACTAAAAAATAAATGCTATGTCAAATGGAATTTAAGTGTATTTTGAGACAACTAAGTACAGATAACTGCCATCCTTCTGTGGAGGATGCATTTATCATATCTTCCATCAGCACTGTGAGAAAAGCTGTGATAAAAGGTATGAACAAAACAGACAAGAAGTCAAATTTGAGGTAAAAAGTCATGCCACGAAAGACGTAGGAAGACTTTATGACTTGCTTTCTCAGTCTAAGACTGTGGGAACTAAAGATGTAGTATGAGAACCTTGCAAATTACATTAATTTCTATCTTGCCAGTGCAACCTGATTCTCGTTTAGAGTTGACTCAGAAAGTTGGTGGGTTGTTTTGCAAGTAAAAGCAAGAAATCTCATCCAGTCGCTAACCTTTAGCTAAGTTTGAGTGCCATTTCAACTGTGATTTAGCTGCACAGAATGGCACAATGTATTCTATTGTGTTTGAAAGCATGCTCATATTAAAAAAATGTAAATACTAATTTAAACCTTGTTCCTTGTTTCTGGCTTTGCAGGGAAATTTAACAGTTCTGGGCCATGAGTGAACAAGAAATTAATGGATTTTTATCTATTAATATTGGTTGTGACCGAAAGCATATGCTGCTTGTGATATACAACAAGATTAATATGAACAAACATAAACAGTTAGCAAGTTCCTGACATTTTGTGCAAGAAAATGTATTTTCCTGAACTGGATAATGGACAAAATTCCTACAAAGTCTTTATGGCATATGGGTAATACTTGAATATGTACCACTGGACTACTTAACTTGTGTTTTACACAGCAAAGATGTTTTATTTTACGAGTGATGGGATCCATTTTTGTTGCGTATGGGTTTAAACATGAGTGTCACAGTGGGTAGCACGATCACCTTACAGCAAGAAGGTCACTGGTTTAAGCCTCAGCTGGGTCAGTTGGCATTTCTGTGTGAAGTTTGCATGTTCTCCCCGTGTTTCCGTGGGTTTCCTCCGGGTGCTCCGGTTTCACCCACAAGTCCAAAGACATGCACTATACAGTAGGTGAATTGGGTAAGCTAAATTGCCCATCGTGTGTGTGTGTGTGTTTCCCAATGATGGGTTGCAGCCGGTAGGGCATCCCCTGCGTAAAACATATGCTGGATAAGTTGGTGGTTCATTCTGCTGTGGCTACCCCACATTTATAAAGGGACTAAGCCAAAAAGAAAATGAATGAACGAATGAATGGGTTTAGACATAAACTCCATACTCATCAGAGGGTTGATTTAATAAAGTAAGAACTTGTAAAGGTTTGTGTTGTATGAATGTGCAATATCTCTAATTTAATTCACCCCCTTTTTAATTATATTCAATTTAACTATTATTACAATTTCTTTTTCCCCCTTTTTCTGTTCACTTGTTTGTTGTTGTATATGTATTGTCATTATTTAATTATTGTCATAATTAAACACATTATTTAAAAAATGCTAATTTAACTACCTAACTTTATCTCAACTTTATAAAAAAAAACTATTCCTTGTTAATAAACTTTAAGTATGCATTAGGAACAAAAACAACTATTATAAGCAAAAAAATACATTAAAAAAATTTAAATGTTACTTTATATAATGATATATCTTTATTGTACACAAATTGTTCAATCCATCAAATACAATATCACATTTTTAAATTATTCTACAGAGATCACTTTTTTGTTGGACTCAATACTCAATAATTCTAAAAACCTGTATTTTTCTGTTTAATATTAGATGGGATCTTAAGTGCAAATCAAAAGTAAGGCATGTGACCCCATGTAGCCTCCCACCGCTTAATGATTGCAGTTTCTAAAAAACATGCATGCGTGTTAGAAATATCACAAAACAACATGTAATTTCACGATTTTAACAAACACTATTTGTTCTTCTTGGCCCGCAGGTGAAACAGTTGCTATATGCAGTAGAGTGAGAAGCAATTAAAGTGATAATTCACCCAAAAATTATAATTATGTCATCATTTACTCACCCTTAACCTGTTCAAAACCTGTTTCCTTTTTCTGACGAACACAAAAGTATTTTCCCCACGACGTGGAAGTGAATACCAGTTTTCAGCATTCTTCAAAATATCTTCTTATGTATTTAACAGAACAAAACCCCCCAAAGAGCGCTTGATAGTGACTAAGTGGTGAGTAAATGATTTTTTTTTGGGTGAACCAACCTCTTTAATACAGAAAAGCCACAATGTCTACACATCAGGGACAGTAGAGGCATCATTCAAAGGCATTACAGTGCAAAACAACAATGAAAAGTTGCATGCGTAAATGTTTCAGTAGCATTTCTATAATCTTAAAGAAAAAAATATGTCTCTGTTCCCCATCCCACATTACATATATTTAAAATACAGATTTCACCACACAAACTGATTCTCTTTACTGTAAAATCTCTCTCTAAATAGATATATATTAATTCTCTTGATCAATGGAGTCTTGCACTACAAAAAGGCATACAAATCCGATCTTTGTAAATAATGAGGTATTTTTCTCAATGGAGTGGTTGTGAATCCTTGACAAGCAAACAGAAGCCGATCGTTTATGACACCGTTGACGTTGTTGTGTAGAAAATATTAAGAGGGGATTTCAATGCACTGTACTCACACATGACAGAAAACAAGGTTGAGGTTTAGTGTTTTTTTTCTACACTGGTGTGACCCTTGCTTAGGCATCTTCCTGTCAATAGTGTTTTGTTTTTTCACTCGTCAGCACTCTTTTCAGAGCCTGTACCAATGACTGTTTTGTAGCAGTGTTCTCCTGCATGTTCGGGAGAGATCGGCGGGAAGTCAAATGTCTTGTTTCCAGAGCCCATGCGTTTGCGGTTTCTAGCACCTGGTTGGTACAGTTGCATTGCCGGTCGGTCCTGTGCCGTGAAATGAGTAAGACACAAGAGACAAAAGCAATGCACTCATATTTCATACCACAAACAACACTGATTTTTTTTTTTTTTTTTTGCATAGCAGATCATTTAAGGAAATGCTGTTCATGCATATAAATCAATTTCCTGAATCACATTTCAGCAAGCAAACAACCAGCTATATCCAGGCCCTCAAAATCCATTTAGTCTATTTAAAAACATTATCTTGCACTTTTATCTGTTTGCATTTAACAAAGATTAAGTTTATGGTGGTGGTGGTGATGAGGGTGAAACTTGATGGCTAAAGCTATTGCTGTCATCACTTCTAATGATAGGTGTACTTTAGATAGGAGCATCTGCTAGATGACTGCTTATAAATGTATAGACAGAATCAAGCATGTGAGCTCACAATGTACAAGATCTTAAATATTCTTCTATATGCATGTAGGATCTGTTCCAAAACCAAGAGAATTGCAACTTGCTGTCTATAAAGGAGCTACTTTTTAAGACAACATCATAGTACCTCCTAGTTTACATAATTTAGCTTGCGCCGCAATACAAATTAGTGTATCTCTCACACTACGCTTGACTGAATTGTGTTTTGGTGATAAGATGTTGAAAACTAATTGTCACATGCTATAAAACATACAAAACTGTCATCTTTTACAATTTTATTGATATTTTTATATACACTTTAAAAATATATATAATAATATAGTATACAGTGGTGCAGTGTATCTGTACTTTATAAGAATAGCTTTGTTCTAATGCATTACATTGTATTTTTATCAACCCAGGCTCATTCTGATTACATATCCCTATATACATTTCTGGAGAGAGAAAAATATGTCCCAGGCGCTACGTTTTTTTTTTTGCAGTTTTTGTAAATCCACTAGAGGCCGCTGTGTACGCTTTTTCAGATTTCTCTCACGAGGGCTGTTCCTGCCTGCTGTTCTCACCTAAATCCACCAGAGGCCGCTGTCAACTGACTGATTTTCTGACTGACCAACCAATACCCTCTCCCTTCCCCTTCCCTAAACCCAACAAATAGTGTTTTATAAAGCACTGATTGACCCACCAACCCCCTTCCCTGAACCCAACCAAAGTTTTAAAAAGCAATCTAAAAAAAGAAAAGCTCACTGATTTTTACCATGTTTCACCACATTCTCACTCTGTTATTTATTTGCTTATTTTATTTTTGCCTTACCTGCTTTCTGGAACTGCTCTTCACCGGACTTAAACCTCGTTGTCGCAGTCAACTCTCCTCTGCGTCGCAAGTCTGCCGTTGTATGTGTCGAACTACTGGACAAACTGTTAACAGCAGGAAAGCTGTCCATACAGAGGTAAGCGTTCAGCTGGTAAGCGCGAAAAGGAATGGCATCATACCGCCTCGTAGCATTCATTTTAAAAATGAAATGCAGTCATACGTAGCTCTGGCAACATAATTTGCGATCTCCAGAAATCTTTATAAGGCTACGTTTTTAGAATAAGCCTGTCTATTATACTTAATAAAAACTACATGTTCATGGTTTTTTTAAATGATAGTGTCCAATTCTTAGGCAATCTAATCCTTTTTAGTTAACCTAATAAATCGGTAAACAAATTACACTAAAAATGTATTCGGTTTGATTCGATTGCATCTATTCTTGAATCAACAAGTCCTCTACATCAACATCGCTAATTAAAATCATCATAAAGGAGATGTCAAGATTTTTGACATGTTTTACATGTTTAAACATGTTTAAGATGTTTTAAAATACATAAACACTGTAAAAAGAGTTCCACACTATCAATTTGTGTTGTTACAGTTTTTACAAATGTAAGCGGACTGAACATAAAACAATAAAGTTTGAATAAAGTTCATTTTCTGAAGTACATATCTATTTTTCTCCTCAAATGAAGATTTTTTTAGGACTTTAAATGTTTCTTTGTCTTATATGATAACACAACTGTTCTTTGTTTTAATATTGTAAAATCCTTAAACCTTATTTAAGTTTATTTCCAGTATTATATTTATTTTTTATCCCTAAATGAGGATATTTTATATAAATTAAAATGATTATTTGTTTAATATAACATAACATAATTTTTTAAAATGTTTCAAAATCCTTAAACTTTCTGTTGATCAAGTTATACATATTTTAAACTATATTTTAACTATATCTTTTTTTTTTATAAAGCTAATACAGAATTGTAACCATTTGGAGCATTTCTACATTAAAAGCAAGGTTACATGAGATGCCTTAAAATGCTGTCTTTATAGACTCACTATAGGTTTTAGAACAGAGTCATAGTTTTTAGTCATTATGTGCTTTTATCTATTGGGAACTGCTCCTTATCTGTGCCATTACAGCATTAAGTACGCCTGACACTGTAGGCATACAACATGTGTATAGCATATCCCCTCCCGTGGGTAGAAAGGCTCAAAAACTAGCTGTACCTTTGCTGGCAGAGCCCCTCCTATCTGGTCTGGCCCCTCAGACTGGGAAGTCCTTTTCTCCTGATGCACTAACACAGACTGAGAGACACGTTGTCTTTCGTCAATAATATTGCCAACAGCCAAATTACAGCTAACTACCTCAACATATAAGTGTAGCCTGCATTGAAAGCCCCTGGAGTGAGGCAGATTGGTATTGCATTTCCCACAGAACACAATGATGAATAAATCAAGTACAGATGTGTAAATATTGAATGCATTAGTGGATCCATCTGCTACACAGACCGGACAAACTGACAGATAACTGTACATAATACCAGAACCAGAGCTGCAAATGGACTGTGGCTGTGAAATCGCTACTCTACTGCTCTGTAATAATTTATTTGATTTACCTTATTGCGGATGCGTTCTTTCCTGCTGCCCATGTCCTCTCGGTCCTCTTTGCCCAGTTTGTCTCCAGTCTCTGGGCAGTAGGAATAGCCATGGTGTTGGTCTTTCTTGGCCCTGTCCTGGCAGTAGCCTTTGCCCCATTTGGTCTCTTCCTTGCGTCGCATGAACTTGTCAAATTCGTAGTGATGCCTCTGTCGTTTACGTTCCTCATCTCGGCCACGGTGATCTTTGTCCCTCTGCCGTCGGCCGTGGCCCTCACGCTGCTCCTTGTCATTTTCCATTTGGCTCCTACTGTGGAGGGCACATTTCATGAAGTCAACACCCCGATATACAGGTGAGGTCAAAATTATTAGCCCTCATGTGTATTTATTTTATTTTTCAAATATTTAATAATGTTTAACAGAGCAAGGTATTTCTCACAGTAATTCCTATATTATTTTTTCTTCTGGAGAAAGTCTAGTTTGTTTTATTTTGGCTAGAAAAAAAGCAGATTTACAGTTTTTTGAAAGGCTAGTTAAGCCTTTAAATTGCACTTTAAGCTGAATACTAGTATCTTGAAAAATATCTAGTAAATATTATGTACTCTCATCATGGCAAAGATAAAAGAAATCAGTTATTAGAAATTAGCTATTACAACCATTATGTTTTAAAATGTGTTGAAAAGATCTGCTTTCTGTTAAACAGAAATTGGTGAAAAAATATACAGAGGGGCTTATAATTCTGACTTCAACTGTATAAAAATAGATACACAATGGTGTACTTTAAAGTAACTTAGCAGCTTAATTTATTTAAATTTTATAATGAAACTATTGTTTATTTTATTGAGAGGAATCTAAGCATTTCTGAATTCTACAAATAGCCTCTATATTATTTGTGCAATCTTACTGACACTTAAGTAACTAACATTTTTGTCCTCTGTAAACATTTGTTTTACATTGATGGACACACAAGTGTAAAGACATTGGTTTCTTTCACAACCCTATATTTTGCATCAAAATATGATGCAAACCTATGACCCTATATTTTGCAAGGAAATGAAAGTAGCAAAAGCTTTTAATCTTCACTGTGACATTCATCTTAGAGAAACTTATCATCAAAAAAGAAATATAGAATGGTAGAATTATCAGTCCATATATCAGTTTTTGATTTAATGGTAGCAGATATGAATCTGAGCTTGTGGTCCATTGTAAGAAAGCCATAGAGTGTAATGGTGCACAAAGGTAACTTTGGCAAACATTATTGATATTTAAAAGCACCAAAACAAACATGCCATTCCTTAACAGGAACATGACACTTTTTAACATCTCCACTATCATTACTAGACACGCCGCTTACTGCTGATTGGCTGCTCGTGTATTTTGGAATTTGGACAGGTCTGTCATATATTACCAGATTGGGGTATTGAGTATTGTGAGTTTTAACATGACTGCATGGTATGGACTGTTGCCAATTAAGAAAAAGTAAAAAATGTGTCAAGTAGTAAAAATGACCAGTGCAATTGTAGGTAAAGCACAAAGACAACTAAATTAAATTTATTTAATGAGAATTAAACAATCATTATTGAAAATTGTTCCCATTCTTTAAATATAAGATTTCAGCTCTTGCCATCAAAAAGAGATTTTAGGCAACCTCAAGTAAAGAAAAAGGTTTAGCAAATGTCCTTTGTGCCACTGCCACTAAAGTTTTAAACACTGGGTTTTAAGTATTAATAGGGTTAATTGAGTTTTTGATGTGATTTATGTGATGACACTGAATGTATTTGTGTTGCCTGTTTTTCTATGATATGTGTAATATGAACGCTGATGTGGTTGTGTGGTGAAGCCAAATATAAAATTCCACTTGTGGAAAATAGAGAAAGTAAAGTTATGACATTTCCATTGAAATTAACAAGATAAAATTAGGAAAGTATGAATAAAGGGGGCAGTCCACACAAAATTAATCACCCACATAGAATGTCATCAGTTGAACACAAAAGAAAATAATTCAAACAATGTTGTAAATCTGTTACAAATATCATTTAAATTATCTTTATTTCTGGTCGAGTAAATCTATCCCTTTAAAAAATTATTAAGAAAATGGAAAATTTCATCCCAACTTTCATCTTTTGGTTGATTTACAAATCTGAATCCTTAATTTTTTAACTCTATTTTTAACTCTTTAACTCTATTTTTAACTCATATCTTTTCAAGAAGGGGTAAGTTTTAGGAAGCTCTTACTTATCCTTTGAATCCTTTGACTTAGTGTGTCCTCCAGGCTTTTCCCATCTGTTCTTCTCCGTCTCTCCACTGTCTCCTTTATCTTTCAGTCTGTCTGAATCCACGTCATCGTCTCGGTCACACTTCTTCAAAAGCTAAAGCAGTCAACATGCAAATCTGATGTTATGACTGCGTGTGTTTGTGTGTGTTTTACAGTACTGATAAGCACAGTCGAGCAATGGGATGTGATATGGTATTAAACTCGTACCTTGATCTTTATCTCTTTCTCAGAGAGCTTTTTCTGCTTTTCTGCCTCCTTCCGCTTTTGTCTCTCCTCTTCTCTGCGTTTCCTCTTCTCCTCTTCCCTCTGCCTCTTCTTTTCCAGTTCTCTTCTTCGCCTCTCTTCTCTTTTTTCTTCTCTTATTCTCTAGAATGGAAAGGCATGGTGATGTACATACAGCACAAAATCGCAGTGTGTTATATACAGTGAGATGGTGCTCTTACCTGTTTCTCTAATTTCTTGTTTTTGATGTATTCCAGCAAGGGTGTCGTCCTTTTGGCTATGAATAAAGTCACACAGAGGTAAAAGCGAGCTCAGATTATAATCCTAAATCCTGGATAATTTCCAAGAGAGCAGCTCTATAATAAAATAGCAAATCAAAAAAAAAATCAAAAAACTAAATATTGTTAGTAATCACATATTTGGGACAAACAAAATACAAACATTCGATGACCCTTTGTTAATTAATGGGTAGTAAGTGGAAATTAGTTCTTTTAAATATTTAGGTGTGGAGATTGACTTTGTTTTCATTTGAAAAACACACAGAGAATGTTTTTAAAAAGGCTCAGCAGCAGTTGAGCTTGTTGAGAGAACTGAAAAGTTTTGATATTGAGAACGACATTTTGGGCCCTATCATACACCTGGCGCAATAAGGCGCAAGAAGTGTTTACACCAATTTGTTGCTATTTTATATTTTATTTTTTATTGCTATTAAGCTTATTCAAGACAACTTGCTTTTGTATTATGTTTTTATTATAAGTAGCATTATTTATTATAAGCATATTTATATTTGTTTTATTAAAAACAAGCTTAGATTTGCCCAATTGTCAGGTTTTAGACCATATGGGGCATAGCATGTGTGTTTGGATATAACTCAGTTTTTTGACCACACTTCGTAATTATTGTTCATTTATTCGTTTGCTGGAAACTACAACTGAATTTAAATTTAGTTTTGAAACAAATCTTTGCGCTTAACAAACAAAATTAATTATGTAGGCTAATGGATGTCTGTGCATGGCCTACAACACTGTTACCTTATCCACGAAGAACAGAAAGAAGAAAGTGACAGTAAAGGCCGATTGGAGAAGGCTTATTCTTTATCCTCGTGCTGCAGATGCTCTTTTTAAACTTTTTTCTTGTTAGTGAAGCCTTTTCATTTTTCGACTTACAAAGTCCACCATGTAAATAGCAATTTACGCTATGGCGCGACGCATCTGACTCTTAAAGGGAATGGGAGATGAGTCTCTGATTGGTTTATTCTCAAAATACACCCACAACTCATTAAAAGAATAAGCTGAAACCTGTTAGACCGTGTGCCACAGCGCAGAGCGTATTTTTCCAGCCTTAAAATAGCAAAAGTGAATTCGGACATGCTTTTGCGCCTTGCACTTTAGACTTTGCACCTAGATCGTTAAAATAGAGCCCCTTTGATTGTCATATATAAATCACTTGTTGAATCTTTCCTTACTTTTAACATTGTATCCTGGTTTACCTCCCTCTCTGTTAAAAGCAAATATATATATATATATATATATTTAAATAATGCTTTTCTGGTTTTTCACATTTAATGGATAGGACAGTAGAGAGTACTGACAGGAAAGCAATGGGAGCAAAAAAAGGAAAAGGACAGTATAGGATCTCGAGACGGGAATCAAACTTGGATTGCCGTGAGCACCAGAGTGCATGTCAACGCACGAACCACTACACCATTGGCGCCGACAAAAATAAACTTTTGAGATTGGTAAATGTAGCTGGTAAAATAATTGGTGGGAGAAAAACACCTCTCACTGATTTATTTAAAGCAGCGACAAAAAGAGTCACTATTGTGGAGGACTCTTCCCACACTTTACATAATTCCTTTAAGTTATTTTTATCTGGCAGACGGTATAAAGTCGCTTTATACAAAAGGCTAAGTACAAGAAGACATTTATTCCCACTGCCCTTGTTTTTTTTAAATAGGATTTCTAAATAATTGTTGTGTAAATGTATTTCTGTTTTGCTGTTGTGTGCGAGCCTGTCTAAAGACAATTTTCTAACCCTTGTGGGATAGACAATAAAATGCATAGAATTGAATTGAATATGAGATCTATATTGATATCCATGTCAAACTATATTTACAAAAGGTATAGTGTTGGTACATAAAAAGCATTATAAAAGAGTGTCTACTTTAATGTTTTAAGCAACTTTGTGAGAATAAAATGTAAAACTAAGGATGAAGTGATGCATCATAACATGCATAAATTAAACACTTACCTGTATTTGCTAAAATATACCAAAGCATAAGTGATCATACCAAATTTAATTTTGTTTATTACAAAAAAACACAAGTACAAAGATTTAAAATGTGTTTTAGGATTTTTTAAATATGATGTTGAAAGATTATTGTTTTAAATATTAATCAGAAGACAAAATAAGTAATTTTCACTAAGATCAAATGTACACAAAAAAATGTACACACCCGTAAATCTTCTTTATTTTAAGATTTTTCCTTTTCCAAATATTCATTAATTTTCCTTCGGCTTGGTCCCTTTATTTATCAGAGGTTGCCACAGTGGAATGAACCACCAACTTATACAGCATATGTTTTACACAGTGGATGCCCTTCTAGCTGCAATCCAGTTGCCAACTGGGAAACATCCATACATCCATACATTCACACACATACACTACGGTTAATTAAGTTTATTCAATTCACCTGTACCGCATGTCTTTGGACTGTGGGTGAAACTGGATCACCTGGAGGAAACCCATGCAAACACAGGGAAAACATGCAAACTCCACACAGAAATGCCAACTGGCCCAACTGGGACTCAAACCAGTGACCTTCTAGTTGCAAGACGACAGTGCTAACCACTGAGCCACCGTGTCATTGTTAAGCTATCACCGAAGACATCCTCTCAGAGGGTGTATTCTGTTACTCATGGTTAAAATAGTATGATGATCACTATTTTTTGCTCAGAAAAAAATTTAACAGGACACATTTACATGTATAGTTCTGTGTTCATGTGGGTTTCCTCCATGTGCTCTGGTTTCCCCTACAAGTCCAAAGACATGAGCTACAGGTGAATTGAATAAGCTAAATTGTCCATAGTGTGTGTAAGAATGAGAGTGTATGGGTTTCCCAGTGATGGGTTGCAGTTGGAAGGGCATCCGCTGCATAAAAATATATATGCTGGATAAGTTGGCGGTTCATTCCACTGTGGTGACCCCTGAATAATGGACTAAGCGGAAAACAAAATGAATAAATGAATTAATGAATAAATATATAGTTAAATTGATGTAATGCTTCTCCTGGTCATACATTTATCTGTGTAAATAATATAACAGATTTAAAAGAATGTCCAAAACCATACCTATGAGCTCTCGGGTTTTAGCTTCAATCTCTCCCAAAAGCGTTTCTGGGTTGGCCATCGATTTCTCCTCATCACAAGAGTAGTTTTCCAGAAATCGCCTGTATTCTGGGTCTGAAAACAGTGTTTAACAAATTAATTAATATATTGCAGTATATACAGTTGAAGTCAGAATTATTAGCCCCCCTGAATTATTAGACCGCTTGTTTATTTTTTCCCCAATTTCTATTTAATGGAGAGCAGATTTCTTTAACACATTTCTAAACATAATAGTTTTAATAACTCATTTCTAATAATGGATTTATTTTATCTTTGCCATGATGACAGTAAATAATATTTTACTAGATATTTTTCAAGACACTTCTATACAGTTTAAAGTGACATTTAAAGGTTTAACTAGGTTAATTGGGGTAACTAGGTGAGTTAGGGTAATTAGGCAAGTTATTGTATAACAATGCTTTGTTCTGTAGATTATCAAGAAAAAAAATAGCTTAAAAGGGCTAATAATTTTGTCCCTAAAATGGTGTTTAAAAAAATTCAAACTGCTTTTATTCTAGACTAAATAAAAAAAAACTTTTTCCAGAAGAAAAAATATTATCAGACATACTGAGAAAACTCCCTTGCTCTGTTAAACATCATTTGGAAAATATTTCAAAAAGAAGAAAAAAATTTGAAGGGGGTTGTTAATTCTGACATCAACTGTAATTTACACAATGACGTCAATTCTTGAATACTTCAAATTCATAAATATTAAGAAATCTTTTTTAAGATGCCTTCTTCAATGGTCCCAGCTTTCGCATCTTTCTTCTTTAGCTTTTTCTTGGAAACCTTCTGAAATGGGGCAAATTCTACAACAGCCGGATATTCTTGACCTAAATAAACAGAAGTAAAATAAATGTTATACTAATCTATTATATCATATGTCATAATAAAAAGTAAATATCCTAAAGTTATAGTCAGAAAATATTAGATTCAATGAGGATACATAGAAAAAAAGCAGAAAGCAAATCACCTTTATTGTCAATAAATACATAGCCATCAAAGCGATCTCTGAATATAATGATATCCTCTGGGTTTTTGAAGTTTATGTATGCTCTTGAGAAGAGATGAGGGTATAAGCTGGGGAGAATAAAAATATATCAAATATGCACATGTAAAAGACACTGACAGCACTCATGATCATAGTATTTCTATATAAACAAAGTGGACATACCTCTGATCAGCAGGAAAGAACTCAAAATAGTCAAAAGATGGAAGAGGACTCAGATGCTCCTGGAGCTGGTCTTTTGATAGACTGGGTGGCAGTCGGCGGATGACGACCTATATAAAAGAAGAATAAAAGAAGTCTGATAATACTCAAAACAAGCTTATTCAAGTTATTAAAAAATGAAGAAATATTACTATATTATCAATGAACTATAAAGTATTTCATAATGATAATATGGTAATAATAATAATGCATTATTATTATTATTTTATTTAACAACAGGACATATGTAACAAATAATTATAATATTTCTGGTTTACAAAACTGACCACTTTTTAAAAATAAAATTATCAAATTTTTAAGATAAAAACAAAAATATTCTTGTTCAGATATGAAAATATCATTGAAACCTTATTAGTTATTAAAAAACAGACAGGCATGTAAGAATTTTTTGTGAGTGTAAAAACTTTTTACATTTTATTCATTTTATGTAGGCCTACTGACCTTCAAAAGCTTCAATACAAACTAAGTATACAGTAAACTAAGTATAGCATATACAGTTGAAGTCAAAATTATTAGCCCCCCTTTGAATTTCATTTTCTTTTTTAAATATTTCTCAAATGATTTTTAACAGAGCAAGGACATTTTTACAGTATGTCTGATAATATTTTTTCTTTTGGAGAAAGTTTTGTTTTATTTCGGCTAGAATAAAAGCAGTTTTAAATTTTTTTAAAACCATTTTAAGGTCAAAATGATTAGCCCCTTGAAGCCATATTATTCTTTCGATAGTCTACAGAACAAACCATCATTATACAATGACTTGCCCAATTACCCTAACTTGCCTAGTTAACCTAGTTAAGCCTTTAAATGTCACTTTAAGCTGTATAGAAGTGTCTTGAAAAATATCTAGTCAAATATTATTTACTGTCATCATGGCAAAGATAAAATAAATCAGTGATTAGAAATTAGTTATTAAAACTATTATGTTTAAAAATGTGTTAAAAAAAAATCAGATCTCCATTAAACAGAAATTGGGGGAAAAATAAACAGGGATTTATATATATATATATATATATATATATATATATATTCTTTTTTTAACCAGGTAAACAAAACCATTGAAATCGAAATCTCATTTACAAGGGTGACCTGACCAAGAGGTCTACAGCTCAAAACTGATGGAAAAAAATTTAATAATAATAATAATTATAATAATAATATTAAAATACTGTTTGATTATTCAGCCATACCACATTACATTATGTTAAAAACACATACACTGAGAAATGGACTGTTGTTGTTTGTTATAAAATTATTTAAGTCAGACTCACTTCGATTAAATTAAAAAGTACATACAAGTAATTACTATTATTACATTAATTTTCGTGTTTTTTCATTTAATAGATATTGTGGAGTTGTGATGTTGATAAAATAACATGCAGAAGAAACTCACTTCCTATGTATGGTGGGAGTCACTTATTTTGTGTTACAAACCTAATTAGTGTTCCAAAGAATTTAGATTAATAAATGGACTAACCCATCTATTTTTACCATATATATATATATATAAAGCATGTTCATCTTGACGAGTGTTCATATAGGCCCTGCTATTGATTAATAAAATTCATTTAATCATCAACTGCAATAGACATAAAACAACCAGAACATTATTAAAATTCTGCAAAAGCGTTCTACAAAACAAATCCTTACATAAAAATAAAGAATAATTGTAGAATTACTCATTCACACACGCACAAGCTCAATAGGTTAATCTTAAAAACGTCTATTTTACCCCATTGCACCATGGCTACATGCTACTTTCATAACATGTTTAATCAATCCCTAGATTAAACCCATTCAGTGTTAACTGATTGAGTGTTGGAGTGTGTTTGTGTTTATTATGAATGATAGCACCAGGATGTTCGTGTGTATTTGGCTGTCCTGTGGTTTCGCTGTCTGTGGTGCTGAATCCCATTCCCTCCTCCATCATCATCATCATCATCACCATACTCTCCCAGCCCACAGAACTGCGCCACCTTACCTTGCTGAAGATCTCCTTTTTCTCCTCCTTGTGCTTGGGGTTCACAGCGGCGTTGTCCTGACAGTCCCTGAACTGGATTTCGACGCTTCCTCTCTCCCTGCTGCCTGTCCTCTGCTCCTTTTCAGACCTCATATCTCCATTTCGCCCTCTTCGCTGTCCGAAATCCGCCAACTCTCGCGGGAATTCTCAAAAAACCGCGAGGCTTGCGCTGTGTTTATTATCTTCTTGTCAGGATTCGTTAAACATTAAAACGAAGAAACAAACGTATGGAGCAGTGCTAACAAAAAATAAGTACACACTCTGAATATTATATGGTTATTTGGCCACTATGTATGTGGTTAGTGTTTTTATACAAAAGAAAATAGATAAAGCACAGGGGACTGATGTTGTTAAACATTAAAATATTGAACTTTCCCGTATGTTCTCTTCATTTCAGCGTTGTGGGCGAGTTATAAAAACAGCAGCCATATATATAACTGTCATCGTTTGCTGCCGTTTGTGTCCTCATTTTCGCTGTCGGTGCAGCTCGGTTGAACGGGACCGAACGGGCTCCCGATGCTTGATGTGCTCCATATGTCCGGGCTGCTGGGCTGACTCACGGAGCGCCCGTAACCATCCCGACCAGGAACTGCAGAAAACACGACACCACAAGCTGTCTGCAAACGTAACTACATTCATTTATTTCTCTATCCATTTAACTATCAGTAAATAGATAGAAAAAAGAATAAAGGGACTTTAGTATTATCCACATATCTATTTATTTAAACAGATGTAGCCTATATCCATCTATTCACCTAAAAAGTAAAAAGTATATAAATCACAGTACATTTATATAAAGTATTAGACCACCCATAGCAAATGCAAAAGCATTCCAATGTATCTATCAGGTGTCCAACAAAATACAGAAGTATCTGATCTGATTTAATAAACAGGCTAGTCTAAATAGATATCCAGCCATTTATTTGTCTGCAAGTTTTTACTCACCCACCTGTCTTATTGCTAAAGTACCAGTTTATTCATCTGAAATACAGCTACAACATACTGAAAAAAGTTTTCAGACCTTAAGTATTTATTTATTTTACATATATATGCATACATTTCCCCTTTAGGGCGTCACAGTGGCGCAGTGGGTAGCACAATCGCCTCACAGCAAAAAGGTCACTGATACGGGCCTTGGCTAAGTCAATTTGCATTTCTGTGTGGAGTTTGCATGTTCTCCTAGTGTTCACGGGTGCTTCGGTTTTGCCTACAAGTCCAAAAACATGCAGTACAGGTGAATTTGGTAAGCTGAATTGTTCATAGTGTTTGTGCGTGAATGAGTGTGTATGGATGTTTTCCAGTGTTGGGTTGCAGCTGGGAGGGTATCCACTGCATAAAACATATGTTGGATAAGTTGGCGGTTGATTGATTCCGCTGTGGCGACCCTAGATTAACAAAGGCACTAAGCTGAAAATAAAACTAATGAATGAATTTTCCCTTTAATACGAAGGTCTGACATTTTATATCAACCTGTAGTTATTTTCTGCAAATAAACGCTGTATGTGATAATATTTTTATTTGAATCATTTAAAGGCCAGTGATGTTTATAAAATGAAAGATGTATCTATTAACGGCAAACACTGAAATCTAATAATAACTGTTAACTTCCCCCAACCTGTGTCTACCATACATCTATCCAGTCCACAGATACATTTATCTGCAAAATAACAATCCACGCATGCATCATGCAGAAGCATGCCTATATGCCTTATTCATTTATCTGAAAATGTATTCAAGTGACCATCAAGTGTCCATTCATCTACAAAAGCCGCCTATCCTTATAACATCAGAAAGTATCTATCTATAAAATGTAAATATCCACGTCTTTATCAAACCAAATGTCTATTCATGTGCACATCTAGCTACTAAAGTATCTATCAACAAATATATTTAGCTCAAATGCATCTAAACACCAATCTTCATGCAAAAAGCTTGCTTATAATATCTGCGTCTCAAGTTTTCATATTGTTCTACAAATAATACATCCTACCATTTGTCTTCAAAACCCTCTATTACCAGTACATTGTATTAATTTCCAAATCCACACCTCATATACGGGGTGTTAATAAATCCTCCACTTATGGATCCACAAATGTATCAATCTATCTGTCAAGTATTCATCTATCTACAGTAGTTCTTTCGTGATCTTTTTCACATTATCAACACATGCCTATAAACACATTTATTAAAAAACATCTATCTGCAAATGTATCCAGCCAATTATCTAAACAAATGTGACAAAACTGAAAATGTCACTAGCCTGTATATAACCAATGTGACCAACTTCATAATCCTTTTAAATCAAGAATTCAATACAAAAAAATTAAAATTGGGACAAAATTATAAATTTATCTCCATATATATCCGTTAATTAAATAAATAATTTTCTCCGGTTGTCATCGTCCACATTTCCAGCTATTTCAGTAAAGAAAAGTTAGTTTCTTACCACTCAGGAATGTCTGCTTCCCACTGGCCGTCTCAATGCAGAGTAGTGGCGAAGGCCTTTCTGGTGTAGAAACTGAGCTTTTTAAACTTGGCACAAACGTAGAGCAAGTGTCCAGATCTCGACTCACGCGCACATGCGAGTAGCTGATGTTGGATTTGGATGGTGTGCAGCCCATGACTAATTCGGCTGTTCATAAGCCAGCTTCTATCTGCAGAGCATCCAGAATGGCACAGCTTGTACATTTCAGTGGCACCAAACAAAGACACTTCTGCTCTACTTCAGGGGCCGCTTTGAAAAGACACCCATGACGTTCCTGGATGCACATGTAGGGAGGGAGGCGGTGCCTAAACCCCCCCTCCCACCTCTTGAGAAGAGTCTTTGAGTAAAGCAAAATTGAATGAACAAATAATAAATAAAAAACAGGAAGACTATTATAACTTTAAGTAGTAACATCACTGTTTATCACATCATGCTTGGTAAAGCAAATATCTAATTAGCCAATCCCATGGCAAAATCTCAACACATTTATGAATTCATGATAAAGATGATCTGCTGAAGTTCAAACTAAGAATCTGAATAAGAAAGTAAGGTGATTTATGAGACATGTTAATACGCGGCTGTCAATCAATTCGGTGGGCGGGTTAACCGCACTCCTACATCACGTTGCGGTCAGCCTCAAAGGGATTTGGAATCTATTTTAACATCAGGAAATTTTAAAGATAGAGACTAATTGTCTTTATATCACTCCAGTATGACCGAACACACAATACCTACACACAGTTCTGTCCAAATCCCTTCCAAAAGATGATTTTCATCATAGATGCTCTTTAAATGTGGCATGGATGCTGGTGGTATGTGGGATGATCTGAGACTCTTTTAGAACTACTTGGAGTTTTCCCCCATATTAGAACAGAATAATAAACTACCTGGTCCTTGGCAGGTTTTAAAATTTGGAAGATAAAGCCTCACACGAGCACCATCACATGACATCTCATACCATGTCATTATTTATTTAACAAAAACCAATATAAAAATGTCAAAATTAAAACCTATGCCTTTGATTTAGCCACTATTCATACATTCGCTTTTAGCAGTAATTACTTAAGTCACACATTCCTGGAGGACCACCAGCTCTGCACATCTTACATGTCTCCTTAACGAAACACACCTGATTCAGATTATAAGCTCATTAACAGAGACTAAAAGACCTGTAGCAGGTGTGACAGACAAAAGAAACATCCAAAACATGCAGTGCTGATGGTCCTCCAGGAACATGGTTGAGAAACACTGACTTGAAGTAAGAATTTTCTGTATGACCATTTTAGTCTATTACGGGGTCACCAATCTTGGTCTATTAGATCATTCGGAAGGATTTTACACACAGCTCTCACCACAGCAGTGAAGTCGGCATGAGAATTTTTCAATACCTTGATTTTATTTTCTTACTATTTTTCAGGTGTTCTGTTGTAGATTTGCTGGTTTGATTGGCATGATTGTCTTGCTGCATGACCCTATTTTGGCCAAGCTTTAGCTTTGGGACGGGCACACAGCTGACAGTTCCAGGCCAATAAACTGCTACAACTTTTGCTGATGATCAATTCAGGCATTTGATTAGTGTCTGGCTTACTTTTTAGGTTATAAGCCGTTGTTCATCTGAGGTTTTACTTTCCAAATGTTATGACCTGCCAAAGGTCAGTTTATTTCTTGTGAAATAGAAATACCATAGGGTATGCAAATTGTTTCACATGACTGCATGTGTATCCACATAACTGATAAATAAGCCAACATTTTAAAATACAGTTGAGTCCAGTTTCAATACTATAAGTCATCTTGCACTTGAATGGTAAATTATAAACTTTCACGAGAATGCTATGACTCATTTGACTTGTACAGAAAAATACACTGATTTTTTTTCCCTTCTCTACTGCGGATGCACAGATTTGAGATAACTGGTAACACAACCAAAGTCGCTGCAAGTAATTTCCTTTGGTTGACAGAAGTCAGGGACTTTTAAACATAAATGCAACTGGCAGCAGATGCTCATGTCTGATTGGCACTGTAAAAACCACATTTTGTGCAGCCTTGTCCACAACAGAGCACCAATGAGAATACACGAATCGGTGTAAAAATATGGATGCAGGGTTTATTGATTAAATCATTCGAACCCTTTTGCATTCACTTCTTTACATTTATTCATAGTAAAAAAATCCACAGGGGTCCAACACAGAGGACACGATCGAGGTGGAGGAGGAGGGAGGGAGTGTCGCGTCCTCGTCTGCATCACATTCTTTCATCATTTCATGCTTTAAGTTCCTCTTTGAGCCGTTTACAGGTCTCAAATCATGTGCTGGTGTCAGACATAGACGTCTCCAGCATCATGTCGCTCTCATGCATGTCACATTCTAAGAGGAAGCGCTGAAAAGCATCGGTTTGTTTGTCCGCATTGAATGATGGCGTTTCTATGCACACGTTTACTTCTTCTATGGGTTGTGCTCTGCTCTCGTTGCCGTCGGCAGAAGTGTTGAGCATCTTCATTAGTGCAGGTGTGTTGAGAGTCTTTCTCACTTTGTCTTTTATATCAGTTCCTACAAAAACAAACGACAACTTAAAGGGTTAGTACACCCTAAAACATTCATTCTGTTACTAATAATTCACCCTCATCTAGTTCCAAACCCCTGAGACTTTCATTA